AGGAGAGGGGAGAGGAGAGGAGAGGAAAGGAGAAGGGGTGGGTGGGGTGGTGCTCAGCTCCAGCATGAACTCCTGGAACTAAATTTTGTTTTTTTGACTGCGGCATTGATGCCATCAGCCACGTGAGCTTGGTAGGTGTCCCTAGGTTCACCTCTTTGCTCTGTGGCTCTGCTCAGCACCACCCTTTGGGGCTCAGCATCGAGTGGTGAGAAACTGCTGCCAGGAGAGCTTGGGAGAGAAGCAAAGAAGGCTGCCTTTGGCCTGTTCCCGGCGTGGCCCACAGCGGACGGAGCAGGAGGCTCTCTGGGAGTCAGGCACCAGCCAGGGTTACGGCCCGAGCGAAGGCGGCGGTGTCAGCTACTTTCAAACTTTTTTGTGTGACTTCGGAAACACCATATAAAATTCACAGCTAACACGCACATCGCCTCACCTCGCGCCATATCTTCCAACTATGTTGCTATGTATTTTTATTGTAGTCAGTCCTCAAAACGACCTGATGAGGCAGGTAAAGTGATTGTCCCCATTTTTCATAGGAGGTAGCTGAAACACAGAGAAGTGACAAGTCCGAGTCGCACAGCCAGGAAGTGTCAGAGCTGTGGTTCAAGCCCAGGCCACCTGACGCCAGGGTCAGAGCTATTAAATGCTAGCTGGTATCACAAGTGTGTGCATATTAGACCAAAGTTTCACAAAAGAATACGTGCTTTTATCACATGCAATGCCTGCTGATATTTTCTATTCTTTTCTAATCTATTCAACTTTTTAAAAAGAAATGCTGGTTGCACCCACTGAGTTGTTTTTATGACTCAATATAGGTCACAATGTATGTTTGAGAAATGGTCATTTCAATGAAATATTTCCCTTTAGGCCTTTACCAGAAGTTGATTTCCCACAATCTTATGGAGAAAAACCCAAGTCCAGAACCTCTATAGCTTCCCAATTGCATATTCTCACTTCTGACCAGAAGGTTGGCCTCTGTGACTCAGATAAGACACACAGACCAAGCCCTCCAACCCCACCCCCTTGCCTTCACCTGTTCCCCCACCAGGTGTGCACTCTCCAAACAACCTCCTTCCTTGGTTTGGGGAATGCCCTTTGCCTATCTCTCACTCACACCTCAGAACTTGCCTCCTCGGCAGCCTGCAAAGCCAGAGTTCATACTTCATCATGCAGATGTCCTCAGAGAAAGGGTGCATGGTGTGTTCTGAACCGCCGAGGGCCAGGCCCATGTGCGCTGCAGTGGGCAGAAGACTCTTAAAACACCCCCAAAATCCGACCTGGTTAAAGCTCAGAAGCACCAGAGAATCAACCTCCTGCTCAAAAGCAGACTTCATTTATTTATTCATACCTGCCTTATCCATAATAGATTTTAAGGTGGCTTCAAAAGCACGCTGTGGACTGTGTGTTTAAGAAAAAGAAAGAAGGAGAGTGGTGATACTAAGATCTGATCTTTAGAGCCTCTTGGTTTCTGCCCTGGGATTTTTTTTAGAAGATTTCATTAAATTAAAAGCACACCAATTCAACTCCGAGGATGCTGCTCCAGGAGCAGTTACGGCAGTCCAAACAGGGCTCCCATGGCAGTCTTTTGTCAGTGCTTGTTTTTCTGATGAAGAATGACAAGCTCAGTTGTTTCAGATCCCATAACCAGCTGGAGTGCCTCACCTTCCATAATGTTTGGTGACTTTTTATACAGCGAAGTCACCAGAGGCTCAAAATAAGGGCGAAGGGTTCTTCCGTGAGGCCTGAGTGACAGAGGAGTCCCCACTGGCCTCCGGTGAGCACACCGCGTGGCTTCTCTGGGCCTCTGTTTCCGCAGCTCCCAGGGCAGGACACTGGACTAGATTATCTCTGAGACTTTTCAGGAGTGACTGAGGTTGCCTGGGGGGTTCTTTCAGAAAGGGCAGGGGTGGGAGTGGGCACCATGGCGCTGATTACAGACCGCGGGGCAGCCCACGGCTCCACAGCGGTGCTTTTCATAGGAGTGAACAGGCTGAGCCGTGAGGGCATCAGCGGGAAGCAGCGCACGCGCGGTGGACACCAGCCAAGGGCGAAGGGGAGAGACAGGAGGGAAGAGATGCTTTGCCTTTTGGCCAGATTGTCCATCAACACCTCTTACATCAAGGGTATAATAAGAAACATACGAATGGGCCTGGCTCTGAAATGCTCCACCGTGTCGCTTGGTTTCCCAATGCCTGACGAGACACAGCCAGCCGCCCCTGCCTGTGGCAGGCCGGCTGAGCAAAGGCCATCTGCGCCGTTTGGAACCTATGACGATGCTGTTGCCGAGCTAACCAGCCTGTTATTTCGTTACTTTGACTGCTCAGGGCACAGGTTACAAACGGACAGCCATTGGGTTTCTTTTGTTTGGCCTTTGCAGCATTTTAAGAAATTTTCAATTTGTTGCCAACACTTAAAATGGAGTGATTTTATGTTAAAATTGGAGACATTTCCTGAAAAGTCGGATCTACCACATTTGCGCTGGTTCTCACAAAACAAACATTGGCTGGAACTGAGTAGCAGCTGCCCCCTTTGGAGGGGATGTGAGCTCCCCACTTAGCCATAAGCACCCCCTAATCACACCCCCTGCCTTATACGCAGACAGCTTCATTCATTCGTGCTCTCTGCCTGGTCCTGAAGGGTTGGCCTTTGAGCCCTCAACTCAAGGAAGCTTTGAAATACGCAAGCGCACAGGGCCCTGAGAAGGGAGCCCAGCCTCGCTCCTGGCAATGTGGTCATGCCCTGACCCCCATCCCCAGCCAACTGGACCAGCCCCCCGCCCCCGGCATACTTTCTGACCTGGATTTATACTTTTCCCCCTTGACCTTTTCTTTGCTAGGTGCTTCCAACCACCTGGTCTACCGGTTCCTATTGGCACCAGCCTGACATCCCCACATCAGAGCCCTGTAATCTGCCCAGACCTAAACAGGACTCGAGGGCCTCTTTCTTTCCTGATTCAGCAGTAGGGGCAAACTCTAAAATCACGTGCCAGGAACAAAAAAGAAGCTGTCCTGTGAGTATATCATACTAGTTCAAAGTTGGAATGTCTTTTTTTCTTTGGGGATTGGAAACTTTATTATGATGTGCATGTGCTGGTGTGGCTGTGTGCTTCATGGAGCACGACCTCCCTTTATCAAACACATCTGAGAGCCTGCTGCGCTCCAGGTTCTGTGCTCCAGGTTCTGTGCTAAGTGCTTTGTGTCCATTACTGCTGAACCTCATTATAACCTTTCAAGGTAAATATTTTTATCACCAGATGGAGAACCAAGGCTCAGAGAAATCACATTGTTAGTAAGTTGTGAATCTGAGCCTAGCCCTGTCTTCTCCAAAGCCCGCCAGACCCCTTCACTATATCCAAAGGTATAGTGAAACTGAAGGATTGGGTGGTTGTACTGTAGCTTTTTGTTTTTTCATGTCAAATATGTTTTCAGTTAACTTCAAATACTCTGAGGCGGATTTTACCTCGTGGTGATGAGTCAGAGTCCAGTTGCTTTTTGATCCTGCTTGGAAACCCGGAATGTGCACGACACACAACATGGCCCATAAATAGACTCATAAAAGAATGACTTTGAAATGAGGCATCCCCAAATACAAGAGTGTCAGCTGCATGGGTTTCTTTTTCATCGTGACACTGCTTGTGAACCAAAATAACGACAAATTGGTAGTGCCCATGGCTGGCTGTGGGGCCAGGTCCAGCTTGGGACGGCCATCAAGGTCTGGGACTGCTCAGCAGGCATGGCCCAGGCCCAGCCACAGGTTGCAAGTTCCTGAAGCAGGCCAGGAGGTCAGTGAGCCTTGTAATCCCAACCTCTTGTGGTAAGAAAGACTTTCAGTACAGCAGTGTCCCCTTATCAGTGGAGGATATGTCCCAAGACCCACAGTGGATGCCTGAAACCACAGGTGGTACTGAACCTAATCAACTTCCCCAACTCTGCTGGAAATGTGGCAGCAGCTGCTTTACTGGCAAATACAGCCTCTCCAGTAACTTTTATATTTTTCAGTCCAACCTGTTCCTGAATCAGTGTACCCATCCCTTACTTGCAGTAAATGGCTTGGGGTCACTCATTTCAGGAGATCCCTTGCTGAAATCTTCATACAGGCTCAATGCTTCCTGGTGCAACAGGTTGCCATCAATCAGAACACATTCTCTGTTCTGTCTTCCACCCAGAAATTTAATGCTTTCTCCAATTTAACTAAGCTTATCAGGCACTGTGGCCGTAACTTTTACGGTTTAAGGTGCGAGAGCAAAACTAGCACACATTTCTCCTTTCTTCTACACAGTTTCACAGATAGAAGATTCCTTTACAGTAAGATCTTTGCAATCTCAGCATACAATTTTTTTTTTCTTTCCCTATTAACTGAAGAACTTTAACTTTTTCACTTACAGTTTCTCTTTGGTGTATCTGAATTGCCAGCATCACTACTCTTACACTTAGGTCCCATTAAGTAAAATAAGGGGTACTTGAACTCAAGCACTGTGATAGGGAGACAGTTGATCTGATAACTGAGAGGCTACTAAGTGATTAATGGGCAGGAAGCATATACAGCTACACTGAACAAAGGGATGATTCATATCCCCAACAAGATGGATCAAGATACTTTGAGATTTCATTACCCTACTCAGAATGGTGTGCTATTTAAAACTTGTGAATTGTTTATTTCTGGAATTTTCCATTTAATATTTTCAGACTGTGGTTGTTCCCATGTAACTGAAACTAGGAAAAGTGAAACTGCAAATAATGGGGGAGTATTGTAACTGGACATCCTGCATTATATGATGGCCCCATAAAGGGTTGTGACACATGGGGCTGAAGTCAGAGTGCAGATTAGGGAGGTGAAGTCCCTCTGGCCTCTATGGAGTGCCCTGAACGCACCCTGCAGCAGTAACTCTACTTTGTCTTACCTGAGGCATTCCTGAAGTGTGCCTGCCCTTCTCTCCAAAATAGCCTCCTAGCCTTTCCCTGGATTAGGGCAGCTAAAACTGCATTTTGAGCACAAGGACTAGCACTGTGATTTAAAAGATGGATAAGTAACCTTGGGAAACTTGAACATCACAGGTGTGAAGCTCAGTCTCAAATATAGTTTGCCCCTTATAAAGGCTGGGTTACCAGCTTTGTACAGGAGGCCTCACTAGGCGGCTGAGTGTTAT